TTTTTTTTACTTTATTATGGTTGGTTTTCGTTTTTTTAAAAAGTACTCTAAACTGTATAAATAATGTAAAATTAAATGTAACGGATATTCATTATAACGGATGCTCGATCACTCCGTTATAACGAGGGTAGTAGCTTTAAAAAATCGCCTGACTTATTTAACTAAATAGATTTAGATTTTATTGGCTGATGCCAACCACTAAACTAACGTTTTCTTGTTATTTGATATGTATAATCACATGACTAATTTGTATCTTACGATCGAAGCTTTAAAAAAATAATTGTTTTTTTCGTGTAATTTCAACTATTATTAACTATTATGGAGGCGGAACCTTCTCGATCAGAAATAACAGAAATAAGTTCTACATTACCTGAGGATATATTACCTCCACTATTGACAGAACGTGCAAGATCAACTCTTCACAGTTAGTTTTGACGCGTTTTTCTAGTTATACGCGTACAAACTCTTTAGAATTATATTTGAAAATCAAACACGTACTTTTTATTATATACCTTAGTCGAATGCTGTTTAAAGACTCACAGTACAGTAAGATACGACGTAATACGTGGACAAGTCGAGAAATTCTTGCGTGAATTCAAAACTTCATTGCTATGTCATTCTGAAATAACAGATTTTCAGGATGTAGCTTTACTTAAAGAAAATGTAGAATATATGATCGTTGCCGAAGCCGGAAGTAAGTTTATATACATGTGGTATATAGTTATTATATGACTGTCAAATTTATATAATCTTTATATTTAAATATATAAAGGCGACACGTCTGATATTCAAATTCTAGAAAACGTGGACTTAGATATTCACGTGTATCAACTTAATGAAGATGATGTAGTAGAAGAATATCAGGAAGAGGAAAATGTTCTAACAGCCAACTATTGGGATTTACCGGCACGAGCTCTCGACGGCTTATGGGATAAGTAAGTAATAAAGAGTTTATTATATAATATGATTAATTGCACTTGTTATGAATAATAATTAAATTTTCCAAATAGTCTCATATTTGACGAAAATATTAAAACTCGATTACTTGATTATGTTTACACGACAATTTTATTCGCTGATCGAAATGTGAACTCAAATATTATCTCATGGAACAGGTGAAATTTCTTATCCGCGTAATTCATGTTTTCTTTAATTTTTTTTACAAAGATCAAACGATTTTATATATATATTTTTTTTAGAATTATTCTGTTGCATGGTCCACCAGGAACAGGAAAAACAACTCTTTGTCGAGCTTTTGCGCAAAAGTTATCTATTCGATTAGCGGAAAGGTAAGAGAAGTTATTATTTATTACATTTATGAATCAATAGATATGCTAATTTTTTTTTTGTACCAATTAGATATTCTCACGGAAAGTTATTTGAGATAAATAGTCATAGCTTGTTTTCTAAATGGTTTTCCGAATCTGGAAAATTGGTTCAAAAATTGTTCCAACAAATTTATGATTTGATAGATGATGATGATGCATTTGTCTGTATTTTAATAGGTAAATTATTGATATAAAACTATTAAAAGTAATTCATTTATTTATAAAAGACAAATTCAGAGATATTGTGTATCTATGAATTTTAGATGAAGTGGAAAGTTTGGCAGCTACCAGAAGATCTGCGTTATCTGGAGCGGAACCATTAGACGCTGTTAGGGTAATTTATAATATTTGGTTATAGCTCTTAACCAATGGACAAATATATAATAATTATATGTGTCATCAGGTGGTCAATGCCTTACTGACACAAATAGATAAATTGAAACAAGAAAAGAACGTTCTAATACTGACTACCTCAAATATCACAGAAGCAATAGGTGTGCCATTATAAACAAATATATATATATATATGAATAAATATAAATAAATATGTAAATGCAAAGTTTAACATTTAATGTAACATACGTATGCATGCATAGACATTGCCTTCATTGATCGAGCCGATATCAAGCAATATATCGGTTTACCATCACAACAAGCCATTTATGCCATACTATCAAGCTGCATAAGAGAGTTAATGAGAGTTAGAATAATTGCTGAGGAGGTAAATATTTTGAAATTAACAGTATTATTTCAGATTATTATCTCGAAATTTATTAAATTTCTTTATTAAAGGAATTCTTGCTTGATTGGCGTGCTGTGGAATTATACCAACATACAAATAGCATTGATAACCCAAGCATTAGACTTTATTCTATTTGTGGAAAATGTCAGGCAAGCAAATATTATAAATTCAATAAAAAGGAATTAATCAAATATTAAAATTAAGAATAAAATTTTTTCATTAGGGAATGAGCGGGCGTACGTTACGTAAAATGCCGTTCTTAGCATACGCCCACTTTTTAAAATCATGGGCTACGACAACATTAAAGGATTTCTTGAAGGCTTTAGAACATGTAGTTGATAATGAAACTATTGGAAGAAAATTAACGTTGGAAAATCAAGGCGAAGGTGAAGCATGTAAAATGTTGATTAATGAACGGAATTAAATTTATTTAATTATTGAAATAATAAGAATAATAAAATCATGACATCAACTTAATAAATTATAGTATGTTGAAACTAATTCTTACCTATATAATATTATTAAAATTTTCCTACTATACTACCTATTACAGTGAAATGTTTTAAAATATAATAAATTTACTCTAATTTAATTTACTTGTCCTCCCAGATAATGGTAAGTACGGCACATTATGCCAATATTATAGTATTAACTGGAGACTTATAAGACGTGATAAATTTATAAATGTACAGTAATAAATGGATTGAATCTTATATTATATTATTTATTTTGTTAAATAATATATTCAATAAATATGATTATATATAATCGTTATCGTTATGAAACCATCTTCCAGCACCACCATATCTTTCCATTTGTCTTGTAGCACTTCGAACATTTGTTACATCTTTAACATCATCATTTGGATCTTCATCTTCAGACTCCTCACCTTTTAATCTTCTGATCTCTTTTTTTAATTCTTTAATTTGTGAATTCATTTCATTGAATTGCGATTGAAATCCTTTTCGTATATTGAGAACAAAATGATAAAGATCATCTATTGTTAATTCTTGAGTAGATTGTTCAACAGGCTTTGTTTTCTCATCTTTATCAAAATTATCAGGAAAATATTCAGCAGGAAGTTGATGAGAAATTGGAGAAGAAGGAGCCAAAGTAGGAAGTGAACTAAGTAATGATTGAGATTTTTCATTAATAGAAATAGGATCAGATACAGAACGATCTTGACTATCCTTTGCATTAGGTTTTTTGAATTTAAAACGAGATGTGAGAGTTCCAAGTTTAAAAACATTCTTTCGTTTTTGTTGAGATTGATAATCAAATTGAGGTAATGGTTTTTCAGAGTCATTATTATCAATATTATCATTATTAGGTGATATTAGAATTTCTCTATTAAAATCATAACCATATTTTTTAGGAGAAGGAGGTGGTGAAGAAGGATGATCATTATTTGGGGAAGAAATAGGAGATTCAGGATTATATTCTTCGTAGTCGACATCATTATCAGAAGGTTCATCGGTATTAAGATAAGTATCTCTCTCAGGAATTGAAGGTATTTCAGATTGTTCATTATCTATATATTCATCATTTACGATATACGTATCTCGCCCAGCTGTTCTATACCGATCATCATAAGCTTCATGGTATTGAAAAGGAATGGCTGGTAGACCTTTTTGACGGTTGAAACGAGGATTTTTTGAAGTATTCATTAAATATTTTATGAATAAAATACTAAGATTATTAAAAGTAACAAAATTTTTTAGGCCCAGCCTTTTTTATTAGAAGATGAAAAATTTGATAAATTTAAGAGACAGACAAGAATAAGTTTCGAAAATTAACTGTCGAAAATTCCAAAGTATAATAACTTCTTAATATGTATTTTATACATTAAATACGAAATAAAGACTGAAACAGGTTGTCCTACTCGTGCAACGGAATGTTTAGTATAAATGGCGTAGATCAACTTTGTATTTATTTCTGAGACTTTTCTTATTATCCTACTGTAGTAAAGTTAAGACAATGAATATATTAGCGTTAGATTATTGATACGTATGAATTAACGCAAACATTCTGATGGAGATAAAAGATCCTCACGTCATCTCTGTCAAGTAAATTTAATAGACTATACCTTATTTAACGGTAATTCACGAATAAGTAATTCAAAAGTAACACAAGGATAATGAAGTGCACGTCTATAAAACTTAATATAGGGATGACTTACAAGGAGCCCGCTTTTTGTATTACTTTTTTAGTACAATTTAATTAATTAAAGGATTAAAATTTTTAACGTTTATCTAAATTTATTAAAATGTAGCATTATCATGATAATACAATTTATCATGTGATTAACATGCTTTCTAGCTATATAGTTTTTTACAATATATATAAATAACTAATGATTGAAGTTTTTCTAAGAAACATACAATAAGTTCGCTTAATTTTAGTTAGCAATAGAAATGGTATATAGGTAAATTTTCATCCTGTCATTTTTTTATTGGTAGTCAAAAAAGTCCTTTGTTTCAAATACATCAATTTGTAAAACATTAGGAATTTTAATTACAATGAGAATACATTTATCTTAATTGTTCACTACGTATTAGAGTTAGAACTAAATGTCGTTAAACAATTATGTTACTGAATCTTCTGCAGGATTAGGAATTTATTCATTATCAAATGTTAGATACAATCAATTGTAAGATTACAATATAGGTATGCATTTAACGCCAAATAAAAAAAACTAGTTTTTATGTGTTTAATCTATGAAACACGATTTCTGATTGTGCTAATATCTAACGTTAAATGGCAAATCGATATCAGAAAACATTTTTATTCAGCTAACCCGTATATGGTCAGTTTATTTGAATGATTTTTACATAAATTTTAGACAAAAAAAAAAATTACCATATCCATATAATTCATCGATTTGGTCATTGAAGAAATCATCTCGGAATTTATGAAAGTAGCTGTAATATGATAAGCCGAATTTTTTTCGGTTCGGTTTCAGTTACTTCAATTTTAATCTGACCAGTTCAAATCACCAGTTACGCACATATGCTACGTATCTATCGACTATATATGAGTGCGGCCAATGGAAAACCTGTCATCGGACATTCAATTATATTTTGTGTACAGTTAGCTGTCCTGTACACGAATGTCCGATGACAGAATTTCCCTTGGCAGCACTCATATATATATAGATAAGTGCTGCCGCCAAGAAAAGAGCATTATTTATATAGTGCGGGACACCTAAAGGCTTCACAACCTTTAAAAGCTAATATTGTAATAATATTTAATATAAAAACAATATCACAAAAAATAGGCCACTATTTTGTAGTTTAGCTATTTTGCTACAACTTGGCGACCTTATTTTTTTGAAAAATCATTGTATATTTTTTTAATTAATGAGTTTAAAAGTATAGTATTTTTATGATACGTAAAAAATTTAGCCAAAAATGAGACAATTTATATGCTTTAGCTTATTGCTATTGGCTAATTTCAAAATATTCTTTAATAGTTAATTTTCAGCCAATCAAAATGCAAGAATTCACAAAGACAATATTATTATACTAACATTTTTAAACGGAGGAGAATTAGATCTTATTTTTGGCTATGACGTCCTACAGCTCTAATGAAACCTTCTATACGGCTTCTTTTTTTGGTTTATTATGATTAGTTCTTTTTTAATATTAATGGTGAGTTTTCGTTTTTTTAAACTATTTATTATAATGTGAAATTAAATTGAATTTATTAGCCAATCAGATAAACTTCTGCCCATGATATTATTGATTATTTATCTGATCTAGCCCTTCTGATCGATGATACAAGTTTGTTTATATAACTGTGCATCAATCAGAAGGGCTGAATTTACAATGCCCTAGCAAAAAAATCCACTAACCAATCAGATTTCAAGATTAGGCATAACGCAGACAAAAAATCAAACAATCCAAAAAATCGGTCATAACTCAACATTTTACCTATGAAACCACCTTTTACATACTAACAAAAAGTTTTCCTTGCGAAATTTTTGTACTAAAATTCTTCCTAATCTAACTTAGTAGCAAAACTTACCTTTAACTAACAGCGAAAATGTTTTTAGTGAAATTTTTTAGGTTGATTCCTTTGACAGCACTCATGTTATATATAGGGTTGTTAATGGAGTGGCATACTCCGGAGTGGGTTAAAGATATGCCTAAAAATCTGGAGTGAACTGGAGCAGTTCTAAGCAAGCCTGGAGTGGCTCCGGAGTAAGCCCAACCCAAGCTAAAGTGTGTTGAGAAGTTGCTTAACCCAACCCAACCTATTAATAACCCTAGTTATATATATAGGAAGTCAATAGAAAAGGAACAAATTTTTTCTAAATAAAAGTTTTATTAACTTTAAGCTTAAATATCTCAACAACTATTTGATCAAATTTGATAAAATTTTTTTTATTTTAATTTTATAAAATTCTTAAAATAAAAAATTTTATTAACTTTGATTAGATAATTGGGGGGGGTTTTTTGGTATTAAGGTGAATTAGATAATTGTTGATATTTTAATTTAAAAAAAATTTACTAAAAATGAGTTGTCCCTTTTCTATTGACTCTCCATATATTGAATTGTACCCTTTAGCAATTCATATATAAAATAGATTAAATAGTATTCTACCACATAAAGTACTATTCTCTACCAATGAAATCACTATATGCAGTACTCAACAGCAATCTATATTGCAAGCTTTACAGTGATGGCAAAAAAAAATAATCATATGCATATGCATATATAAACTTTATAACAAGTAAATATACGCATATCGATATGTAAAGTCTGACATGTTTTTCTGGACGTGCATTAATTTTCTTAAAAAGAAATAATTTTCAAGTCCCCTTACTCTGTTATTATACGTACTTGCTAGCAAAACTTGAGATTGGTGTGCGAAAGGTTGGTAATTTTATTATCCATTCAGATTTCATTCGTCATTGGGGTCTATCTACATGTTATTTATGTTATTTTATGATACGTATGGGAGACCAGTAATCCTATGAAGGTTAAACTAGATTTTTCGTAGTATACAGTCGGATTTCCATAAATGTACCTCTTTGGTATTATATAATAAAATAAAGAAAGTATGCACTAAGAAAAAAAATAAAAGTCCGTGCACCTGTCAATATAATTATATTGTGTAATCTAATTCTTAAAAAAATTGACATCTTATTATATATTTATAAAAAAATATTTGTAATCTTGATAATATGTACACTAATATATACAAAATGATTATAGTCACAATTTTGCATTAAGCATATCAACATCAAAAATAAACTTTTTATTATTGCTTCATAAACTATTCCTTAAACCGTCCCATTATATAAAGCATAAAAATATTGACAACTACAAATTTTAATATATATAATATATATAGCTCGATGAATTAATTACAGATAACTTGCGATAATCTGCAGGTAAATTTGCCTGCATCTGATTTCTATGCAAAATGATATATACAATATCATTTATTTTATACGTACGATATGTAAAAAACAAGTCTATGGGTATTAAAGGTTTAAAACTAACAATTTACAATTTTATCTTAATCATCCCAGATTTTTTTTTTTTTAAAAAAAAGATAGTTCTTACTCAAATTATCAAAATTCTATATATGCAGATTTTACTCACTAATTTTAACTAAATTATCATCCAGATACCCTAATTCAGAGGGTATATTAAAACTTTGAATCCAACCAATAAATGTAGCAGCGGATATTATTATGTAAATGAAAAAATAATCAAACGGGAAACTTAAATTATTTGTCAATGACCAAGACCATAGGAAGCCACCCAAAGCTGGACCTAAGGCACGAGTAAGAGATGCTGAAGTTTGACCAATTCCGTTAACTGTACCAAGAACGTCTGATGATGCCGAATTGTTTATCTATTAAGAATAACGAAAAAATATTATCAATACCAGGAAATTGACGACTAAATTAACATTTTTGAACTATCTAAAAAATCCGAAATATTTCGGATTTTCTTGAAGCCTAGGCAAAATTTAAGTTTCACTCAAAACAATAAAATAAATAAATAAATAATCTACACTATACCAAAATCATAGATGTGGTATATGCTATGACATTTAAAAAGCATTTGAGAGTCAAATTGGTTAATAGAATGGACCAAATAATTATTTTGATCACGTTTGGAGCAATTTCCCGCTCAATTAATTTTCTTTGAAGTAAGTTGATCGACGGAAATATACAATAACAAAGCACATAAGCGATCAAAGACATCTGGTACATTTTCACAGTATCCACTAGACGTCTTAAATGAGGATAGATTAAAAACTGGCAAGTAAGTTGTACTACACCCATAAAGGCCAGAGTTAAAGCCAAATCGCTGGAACCAAATCCTAGACCACCATCTTTAATCGCAGTGACGGAATAAATAGAGTACACTTCATCTACAATAATAGTATGGAAACATATAATAGCATAACTTGCAATCACAATATAAGTTATTGTGGAAATGCCGCTATTAACAATAATTTTTTGCTGATTTGTCGAACTTTTGTCAACACCAATTACATCATTTGAAGTTACCGAGCGAATATCATCAATACTAATTTTACCACTGTTATTATCACCTATTTCGTTACTCGTTATGACAGAACCATAAATTTTCTTATTAGAAGGTAAAAAAGGTATTTGTTCAGGATCAGTCGAAACTTTGCGAAATCGAGTTTCGGGAAGCATAAAGAATCCTATGACGAATCCAGTAAAGCTAATACAAGCTGCAACAGCACATGGAAGAAAATAAGGGTACTGTTTCAAAAAAACACAGTTCCCAAAAATTCCTGGGAAATGGTCAACAGGGTTTGATAGATATCCACCAGTTATTGGACCTTATTACGAATTAAATTTGCGTTATAATATACTTTTGGATTATTGAATATAATCATAAGCGCAAAATATCGAACAATCTTACCAACTACATGATTAAAGTATTGAAAAATATATATTAAAAATAATAAATAAATACATATAATCAATATGTATAATTAATGAATAAAAAAAAAATTATACATTACTAATACAACCAAATCCCCAACAAAAGCCAAAGAGTGAAAAAGCTTTAGTTTGATTCGTTCGATCAGTCAATTCTCCAAGCATACTTTTTGCAACACCAACGTTAGCTAAGCGTAATAAAATCGACAGCAGGTAAGTAAAAAAAAAAAAGATATAATTATGTTTATTTCAACACTAACCATTAAGCATGCCACAAGTTGCACGAGATGCAATGGCCCAAATAAGTGATTTACTAAGACCAAAGAACAAACAAGTTACCACGTTTCCTAACAAACCGATCAAAAGAATTGGACGTCTACCAATTCTATCAGAAATCACCCCCCAAAATATGGCAAAACAAAATTGAGCGAGAAAGAATGATGACGCTAGTAATGATAATAGTGAAAAAAAAGAACAATAGCGTGATTTATATGCAATCACGTGATTTGACTGAGTAATCGGATCAAAACGTTACCTATTAATCCAGCATATCTACCAATTTCTTTTTCATCTTTGCTAACTCCAAAATCTCGTACCTAAATGATTTCAATTGGTTAAAGATGTTACACGATATAATCACTAGGATTTGTTGAGAAACATAATAAACCCACCATAAAATATATAAAAGGAAATAATATCGTAGAGTTCATTGGTTCACTAAATACAATAACACTCAACACAAACATTATCATTTTTGGCAAAGGAGTTTCTTTTGGGATTTTTTGCTTTCTCCTTTGATTACTCAGGGTATGTGTTTCTTGATCCAAATCCTGTGACGCGAAAGTATTTGATCCAGACGCGTGTTTAGATTTTGAACCTTTCGGTATCATGGTTTTATTAGAAAAAGGCTCGAAAATCTCTTGAGAGTCAGGCTGTTCCGACACATTTAAGTCTATTGAATTGTTCATGTCCTTATATTGAATAATATTAAAGATCAAAAAAATTTAACCAACACTCCAACTCGTCTAGTTAAAGCTTCAAGTAGAATAAAAGTGTGGGGAAAAAAAGCTATAAACGAAACAGTTAAAATAACTTCTTTTAAGGTAGTAAAAATCAATAAAATGATAAGCTGGAAAAGTCCGTTCTCCAATTATAAATAAAAAAAATTTGGGAAAAACTTTTTTTCCAATCATTCTCACGTGGCACTAATTAATAATGCATTATGTAACCATGATTAGAATATGTTCAGCTGAAATTTAGAATGTTCTTGAACTGTGGCGGAGTTGAACAATACAGTATCGACATGCATCCACATAAGTTTTTCGTAGGTGCGATAAGCCCCCATACATATCGATACTGCTGTATTGTTATATACCTCTTATATTAATTTACTTTAACTAAACATATAATTTTGATTGTATACTTTATATAGAAATTCTTCATTTTAAATGAAATGATATTAACCTACTCTGATCCTTCTCAATTCCGAATATTTAACTGTTAGGTACGTGCATATGTACGTACTATATATGTTCTTTTTTTAAATTCCGTATTTTGATATTTTGAATGTGTTCAGAAATCTGCGGCGGCGTGCAGAGTCCTGGATCTTTTGCAGCTTTTTCTTAAATCAATGATTTATGTAGGTACAATAATATTACCGTTAGGATTTGACATTATTGTTATAAAAAAATGTATCTATCGATATTCATTCTCACCATTCTCGATATGGTCATGACATGTGTTTGTTGTTCATCCAGGTTAAAAAAGATTAGTAATGATCCGAATCTAATACAAATCTCACTGAATACTATGCACATTGTACAGTTTTGATAGATTTTCCGCTACATTCATCAATTAAAATTGGCCGTTGTACAGTATTTATATCACAAGAACGAATTAAAATTTTGTATGTATATTTTAACAAATATCAATTTTTAAAAATTCGGCTTGCACCCGAATATATTTTCATATGCGATACTGGAAAGGACTCTTTGAATCACCTATCAGGTTAGCAATGGATTCAATGGTGCTCCAAATGGAATTCAATACACTGCTATCCATTGGGTCCATTCGTAGCTTCATTGGGCTCTATTGAGCTCTATTGCTAACTCTAAGTAGTACAGTTACTTCCATCATATTCATCCAACCTCTAAAAATTTTAGAAGTCTGATCCTGATAAATCTGATCAAAGTAATCAATACTCGATGCTGATTAATAAGGCCATGCAAGCAAATAAAATCGGTTCTCATTACCCGTCCGGGTAACTTTTTATAAAAATTAATTTTTTTTTCGACATTAGCATATGAAAGATGGTTTATCAAAAATAGTTTAATACGTATCTAATATAGGAATTGGAATTGAATATTTTATAAAAGGCAATTTATATTTGAACACTAGTGTATAAAACACGGGTATATTGATATCTCAAAATCCTAATAATAAAACAGCTTTTAGAGTCCTAACAAAAAATATTTC